TCGGTTTTAATCCTTCTTGTTTGTCTTTGCATTAATTATCCAGAATTAAGAACGCTGGCCGGTCGCGGCGCCGCGCGCAGCCGGATTACTGGCTTTATTATTACTTGTTGCAGATTATTAATTACCGAGAATTACGAGCGAAGCGCGGGGAGTAGGCGCTGGGTGGTGATGGCGGACGGTGCCGTGGATGGGGCGGAGAGGAGGGACGAGATGCTGGGAAGAAAGGCACCCCTCTCAGATTTGTGTTTTCAATTAATTTCCGTAAATTAAGAACGATTGTAAGAAGAGATTAGTGACCGCTGGCCGTGTGCCTCGAGGACTGCGAGGATTCCATAAATGGAGAAGACCGCTCCGCGCGCTCCGGTTTTCTCTTCGAAAGAGTGGCGTCGAGTAATTAAACAACTCGATAAACAACTGCAGTCCACAGCTGTTAAACTGACAAATAAACGAATAAATGAATAAATGAACGATACCGATGTATACATACCGTGACTATACAGGTATCATTAAATATCATAGCTCGGATACGAGCTCCGAAATAGCCAATAACGACCGGCATCCGGATACGTTATGATGCACTCGAGTTTTCCAATCGGGGTGGAACAGTTCCCGCTTTTTTTTTTTATCAATAAAAAAGCCAGAGCGCGGCTGTGTTTCGTTAGTGTATATTATAAAGTTCAAGGCTTATCCGCCTCGCGGTTTTCATCGATTGGAGTTGCCTGAATTATTCTCACGATACTGACGCACAGTAGCGGCGTACGCGCGGACTTCGTTTTCGGTTATGGGATTAATCGACAAGCAGATTTAATGGAGAGACACGCGCGCGCATGCACGCACGCACGCATTCGCTCATACACGTCGTGGGTGAGTCTAGCTACGAGCGCGTGTACGGCGGCAACATGCGCGTATATCTCGATGAAAAGTAATGCTAACAATGGGGTCATGCGAGCCTTTATAATATCACGCTGGCGGCCCAATTCCCTGCGCAGGATACGTAACGGGGAAAAAAGGCCGAGAGGCCTGCCAGCTGCTGTAAACGATACAATTACCAGATAGATGTTCGTATACAGAGAGAACGAAGGAGAAAAAGAGACAGAGAGAAAAGAAGTAGGGGGAAGAGGAGATGATCATTCTCCACTCGGCGTCGCTGTAGCAAAAGAATCGAGCGATCCCTTTTCGAGACGTCCGTCCGTCAAATAATATCGCGACGCTTCCCGAGAGCGCATAGCCGCGGAGAGAGAGCACAGTCGCGTTCATACGAGGACTTTACCGAGCCCTATTTGTGTATTCGTGCAGTTAACACGAGCGCATAGATATTAAAAGCTTACGTAGCCTATAACCACGCATCGGCGCACGGCAACAACCAGGAGCTGGGAGGAGCGAGCAGAGGAAATAAATATTAATAACGGCTTTCTGTTGCTATCTCTTTCTCTCTCACGCTCTCTATGTCTCTTTCTCTCTCAGGCTCTCTCTCTTTCTCTCTCTCTCTCCCCTCACTTCTCTCTTCATTGGTTCTATTCTCTGTATAACCCTCCTTTCTCTCTCTCTCTCTCTCTCTCTCTCTCTCTCTCTCTCTCTCTCTCTCTCTCTCTCTCTCTTTCCCCCTTGCCACCTCTCTCCTCTGTGTCTCTCGCTCTCTCACAATATGTCTGTGCATTGTTAGGGCCATTACGGGAGCCAATTAATCTATGCACAATTTTATAATTAAACGGCTAATAGCGCATAGAATTATAGTCCAGGGCCGCGCGCACTCCCACGTATTTCCAACTAGCTGTTGTTATATCAAGTATACTCTGAACGCTACGTTCGAAGGAAAGAAGGAAGAATGAAGAAAAATCAGACGCGTTGTCCCTTTTCCCTGCGTATGTCCTCCTCCCTGCTTTTTTCCCTTTTTTTCTCTTTGTCTCCTAGACGCGACCTCTTTTCGCGAATTTCCAATTAGAGACTCGATTCTGAAGAGGTAGTTTGCGAGGCGAGGCGATCGTTCGTTCGTTCGTTCGTCCGACCGAGTTAGGTAAATTAATTAATATAATTGACTCGCGTCTCGTTAGCTGCGCGCAATGCGGCCGCGTTATTATTTTCTTGCCGATTATCGTAGGGCCCGCATCGACTTATATGCATGATATACGACGCGCGCAATTATTGCAGTCGATTACTTTTCAGCTTGTAACAGGAATATATCTGTCGGCGTTCTCAGATCAGATAGCGACCACCCCGTCTTGGGATTCGCGTCTTGAGGACGTGCTCGAACGACGGCGTCTACGGAGAGGAAGTCTCTCGCGATAAGAAATAAACGCGGCATTTAAAAATACACCGTGCCGCAGTAACGATTCACGCATTGTGCGTTCGTTATACGGAACGTCGTCCCGACACGCGTGTCTCCCGCGACTGGCTCTCGCTTGCGGAACGAGCTCTCTCTCTCTCTCTCTCTCTCTCTCTCTCTCTCTCTCTCTCTCTCTCTCTCTGCCTCCCTCTCCCTCTCCCTCTTTCTCACGCGGTGTTATAATAATTTCGCATTCGTCGTTGTCGCCTGCATACCTCGCTTTTTAATGCTATTACGGCCCGCGAGCACGAAATACGGCGCGTCCGGCGCAATCGGTTCTGTATCTACGGGCCGTCCGGACGGAACAACGCACCCGGCGCCGCGCTGTAAACCGCAAGAAAAATCCCCCTGAATTATTGGTGCGGTTCTGGGCGCATGCTGTTGCATCGGTCCGATAGAAACGGCGGCGCGGGGGGTCGACGTGCAGTCGCTCTCTACGTAGATGTGCAAGTGCATGCGCGCGCGTATTACATCGTTCGTCCGCGTGCGGGTGTGTGGTTTAGTTCGTCGTAGATGTGGCACGGCCGTGTGTACCCGTTGCCGCCGCTACCGTTGCCGTGTATTATCAGAATGTAACGATGTCAACGTTACACGCGCGATCGGACCGCACAGAACGATCGTATCGTAGTCTCTTGATCATCCTGTTTTTCACAATCGCCGTTTCGCTTTTCTACAATCTCGTTTCTCCGCAGATCGGAGTTGTTGAAAGGCCGGTGGAAATAATGTCCGAGTATTTTGAGAACAAACTAAAGAGCTAAGAGCCTGATTGCCTGCTTCATTTTTGCAATCATCACAACGCGATGAACATAACGCGAATATTTCTGAACATATATGGTCAATATTATTATAATAACAAGTCGTGTTCTAATATTGATGCGTGACAATTCAGAGGAAGAATTTCAAAATCGTAAGACGGAATTATTTAAAAAAATAACAGCAATTCTTCGTTCTCTAGATCGTACTACTATTCGTAAAGGAAGAAACATAAAAATTATCTTAATGAATAGAGATAACAGAATGTCGAGGAAACTGCCGAGTTTTTTTTTTTTAATCGAGCTACAACTCGAACTTGATATCACGAGAACGAGCAATCTAACGGGACGATAAAACATGCTCTGGAAAGACGAGACCCGCACGAGCCGACGGCTCGCGGAACTCTGTTCTGTGACTGCGACTCCGGATTATTTGGATCCCTGCGATCCCTACGAGCTTCCTCCTTCTACCTCTCGCGCTCGCTCTCTCCTTCTGGCTATCTCTCTAGCTCTTTCACTCCGTCCCTCGGGATATCCCTCGGTTCCCTCTCGCTCGGTCCCTCTCTCTCCGTGTCGCGTTGAATCCGTTTCCGTTGTGACTGCCGCTGCGCATCGCACGCTGAACAAGTATTGCCCGTTTACCGCGCGATTCCCGGCCCGCCGCGAACCTCGTGTATGTGACAATTAAATATAGCGAGTGATTAATTTGTCAAAAATATATCGAGCGAAATTGTCAAGCTTATCGACCAGAAATAAAATATTGAGGGATGGGACGATCCGGATTGATAGACGACATCGAGAGGACAACACTTTCTCTGACGACCTTAAATCCCCTCGTTCCGTTTACCATTCCGTTTCGTCTGTCGTCTACCTCGTGGGTGGGGTGCCGAGAGAGCTTGTACAACCAGGCTCTCTTCCTCTCGCCCGGCATCCTCTCTTTCTCTCCCTATTCGGGGACGATTCATTCAGAGAAACTGCCGTGAAAGGGACACCTGTTGGCGCGGGAACTCGGTGACAATCCTAGAAACGAGGAGCACGTGCCACTGCCACACGACTCGGATATCTTAATTCTCTATTGTAGTACGATGCACCAAACAATTGTTTCATTTCGTGAGTATTATTTTACATGCAGATGCGATATGTCTCTCGTTTCGGGCGCGATCATTTTGAATGCAAATAAAATTACCCCCGAAATGGTATTCTTTCCAAATCGTAAAATGCAATTTCGTGAAGCAATTTCACGATGCATGAGGATCGCTCGTGAACTGCCTATACGAAAAGGCCCGAGGGTCACCGGGAGCTGTTTTCGACGATGATCAAGTCTTAAGGAGCGGTAGGTGGTGCACAATTAAAGTATTTTTTGGCGGACTGGTAGCGTGAAAGCCAAGCCAAGGTACGGGGCGAAGATAAAGTGCTGCCCAGCGGCGACACCATGCGTTATTAATGTATGCGAGAATCGTAGCTTCCGTTCGTAGAACGGCGCCCAAGAAAGCGCGTTGAGGCGCCCATGAGTATATGAGTGTTATTTCCGGAATCTTTTTCTTCCTCTTATCTCGTTATCGAAACACGGACTGGCATTAATTATGGCTAACAGTCGACAAACATCTGCTACTCGTCCCTGTTAAGTGGATATGGGATTTCTTTTCAGAAACATTTAAAATATGGTAACGGCACGATCGCCACGAGGCAACGTCAAAAAAAATTAGTTTCGTCAAAATTAAGTCACGATCTTTAAAAGGCCTGACTCTCTTCTTCTGCCCGAAATATTCTGCATATCAGTTGTCAGCTACGAATATAGACGAACGCAAGTTTTTTCTGATCTAGAAACGCGTATGTTCGCAAATTGCAGCGACCTAATTGACGAACGAGAATTAAACAGATAAGAGAATCCTGTCATCGCGTATATCCGAGCATCGTGGACGTACCTGGCCGTGGTGCAATCCCTGTAAAGAATGTCGAAATCTTTGCAGCTGAGCAGCTTGCACCGATTGACGCCGGGCTGGATGGCTCCGAGGCCGCGTAGGATCCTAACTTGCTCGACGTTACACACCAACGGCACGATATCCAGACGCTTGAGCTTCGTGTAGACTGTGTGGAGGCCGCCCACGAGGTGTTTGAGGAACAGCTCGAAGGCCTGTGGCAGACAGAGCATCGTGTCGCCGGCGATGATGAACGCGGCGACCTTTTGGCCACGGTAGTCGACCAACTTGCACTCGTTGGCGGTAGGATCGCTAGTACTAATCGGCGGTGGACTGTTGTAGGATCTTGGTGGCAGGACCGCGTGATGGGCTGCCATCAGCTCCAGTGGCGAGCCATGGTGTCCGCTCAGCATACCACCGAGCTGGCCCAGTAGTCCCAGTCCCGGCGGCGGCAGACCCGGCATACGAGGCACCATACCCGGCGGTGCCCCGGGGCCGCCCCCGGCCGACAACGGCGGCGGACTCAGAGGAAGGCCCTGGGGTGGTGAACCTCTCGTGGGTGATCCCGGTGTCGGCACACCGCGATGCTGCTGATGATCGCGGATCTGATCGCGCCCGTGCGACTGATGAGACGGCGGCGGTTGATGCTGACTGCCGTGTAGCTGTTGCTGCTGCTGCTGCTGGCTCTGCTGCGTCGACGGGCTGTGAGGATGTTTCGGACTGCCGGTTACGGGACTGGCACGGCTGCTGTGGTCGGAAGAGCTGTCCATCGCTCCGTGGTCCATGGAGGGTCGGAAACGCGCGTCTCTATTCTTCCTGCGACTCGTAGAGACGACGAGACACACCGGCACGCTCCTGTCGCCAGCGATACGCTCCGTGCCTATCGTTGTTCACGTCGCCGTATCACTGTGTCCGCCCGCTGGCGAATATCGGTAACAGCTCGAACGGTCGAATGTGAATCGTTTCAATGCATGTTCAAGCCGTTTCTTTCGCAATCCTCTCTTTGCGAGCTCTCGTATATAGAGACACCCCGATAAATAGCGTAAAATTTAATTTATTTAAATTATTTAAATTGCACTCGACTAACGTCCTTTGAACGTGTCGCTTATCACTGCAAACGAGAATCGTGCGTCTTGACACAAGTCAGACCGCACGTTCTGTCAGTCTTTACACGCACGCAAATTTCTGTGTCCATAACAAACTTTCAGTCCACTTTTACTCCACTTTCAGCGCGTATGTTATTTTCACCGATCCATATTGCGAAGATGTTTTAACTCGACGACAACACACCGACAGCGAGGTTGACAATAAAAGTTATCGCGCAAACGGCAACGACAGTTGTCGCGCCGAGTTCGTCAATGAGACGTCAGCAACTTTTTCACTAGCTCACGACAATGACATCTTCATATCACAAAAAACGCGAAAGCGAATCGCGACGACTACATACGGGACCTAGACGATAGAAACGCGTGAGCACGAGGGAACCGTAACGTGTATACGACTGTGACGATGTCAAAGACGAGATGACAGCGAGGAAGACGACGGCGACGGCAACGACGACGACGGCGACGGCGACGACGACGACGGTGGCGGCAGCGACGGCGACGATGACGACGGAGGCGGCTGCCGCGGTAACTCGCAGGGACGCGCGTCGCTCGTTCTCAAAGTAGCAAACGCTCTCTCGGTCGAGTCGGGAGTATTTCCCTACCCAGTCACAGATGTAATAAATAAAAACATCAGTGGGAGCCCGACAAACGGGGAGGATGGGCGTTCTGTGCGCGCAACTGACTATCCGGTTGGCGGAGCCACCAGGGCGGCTGTTCCCGCTATTGGACGGCAGGCTCGCACTGTCTACGCCTTTCGAACCTTCCCCCGAGTGGCGGCGGCTCGGCCACCCGCCCCCCGCGTCCCCCACTATTTGCCAACCTCTGCCACCGACGTGGTAGACGACGACGACTACGCCGGTGAGGACGGTTCCGGGGGCTACCAACACAGAGGGACAACCAGACGCAGACGCGCAGAGAGCCTGAGGACAGTACGACTGGAACGTACCGGCGACGCGAGCGTGGCGCGAGTGGGGGATTTCTTCTTTTACCTCACTGGGTTTGTCTTCTTTCGTTTTAGGTCTTATGTTCTCTTTCCTACCTCGGTTCGCTCGCTCGCTCGCGCGTGCATACCTCCTCGCCCCACTCTCCGCTTTTATATCTTTCACTCTTGTCTCTTATTTCGCGTGCGCTGTTCTTCTCTCAGGCGTCTTGATTGTTGCCCGGTCTCTCGAGTCTCGATATTTCGCTCTTGTTTCTTTCTTCGGTTGTCTACAGTGTCTACACCATTTTCATCATTACATTTTGATTGTGGATCCTTCATTGCCCGCATCTAATCTCGTCTTCGTTTAACAAGTCTCTTGTTTCTTTTTTTTTTATTCACTTCATATCGCTATTCTTTCACGTTTCGCATTCTCAGTTCTTCGGGATCATACGCTTTCCTCTCGTTCTTTTCTATCTTTCTGATACTATTCTCGTCTCCCGCCCCTCCACGCCTTCCGCCATCCTCCACGTTCTCCGAGTTCGCGCTCTCTCACGCGACCAGCCCTCTCTGCCTTCTCTCTTTATCTCCTTCTTTCGTCATCCCTCTCTGCGTCACGTGCGCACACACATACTGCCCGTGTCTCTATCTCTCTTTCTCTTTCTCCCACTGTTCCCTATCCCTACGACGAAGAATGTCGCCAACGTTCGAATCGATCGCTCGCTTTCGCGCGCACTGCCTCCCTTCTTCACCCTTCTGCCGTCCGCGAGCCCACTCCTCCTCTATCTGCCCCTGCTCCTCTCCCTTCTCTACTCTCCTCCTTCACCTCCTCCTCCTCCTCCTCAACCTTCTCCGCGCGCCACCCTCTCTACTCTTCCCTCAGATCTCCTCTACCATATTCGCCATCAGCATTACACGCGCGCACTTATTTCTTCTGTAGGTAACTCCGCTTTCCTTGCGATCTCTCTCCTGCTCTGCCACCCCGTTGCGCCTTCGCCCACCCTTAGTCCATCTGCCCCCTCTTAGCCGCGCGCGCCTCCGCGTTTCCTCCGCCTCTCCATCCCCACCAGTCCGGCACATAGGATAGTCTACGCTCTCCGTAGCTCGACACGGTTAGGGTATGGGTGCTTAATATCTTTGTGCCATACCCAAGGCGCCCGTATCCGCCGACAGTTCCTGGAGGTGAACTTTGCCGCGATCGAGAGTGCCTCGATTCGCGAGACAGAGATGAAAATCGTAATCGTGCACGCGGATACGAATAATTATTCGAGCGAATGTTACAAACAAGACGCTTAATCTCGAGAGTAGATATATTCGAGAGCAGATTAAAAAACGAAATTAACGAAAGAGAAAGTCGAATATTTGTATTTACTTGCTAAATAATTAAATATAATATACGTGACGTTTCTCATCTTGGATACGAGCAGAAAGACTAACTTTTCTTTTTGAGGAGCTTTAATCTTAAACGCGGTTTTTTGGCTCCACTCAAGCAAAGTGCGAAAAATGTCATACGGCAGGAAAGATCCGAAGCCGAAAGAGAGTCTCCGATTATCTCGTCATAGACGCTTCGTGGCTGGTAGGGGAAAAGAGTCTAGCATTCTCTCCTCTCTTTTGGCCGGTCAACCCCTCATCGTCCCTCATCGGCCCGGTGACCCAGATTCGCTAGGGAGACCCTTCGCGATGCGAGTATCGTCGTATGTGTTTATATATCGCACACATCCGTGCGACCGTACGCAATCGCACACAGCCGTGTTCTTGCCCACGTACAGATTCCACGGTCCGTGTAGATATATTTACCCGAAACAGCTGATCTCGTCACCTTATAGATCCCCAAACGAAACGCGGCCCCCTGGGCCTATCCCTCGTTGAGCGGGATCGCTATTCGTACATTTTCAAATCCAGTCTGCGTGCCGCTCCGTTCTCGGCACTCACGTGTGTCATCATTCCACATGTTAATTGAGATTCCGCATTTACGAAAATCGTAACTCATTGCGAAGGAGAAGCAATTTAAACGAAGCATTTAAGGTCTCGCAAAGTTTAGATACATATGTGCATTGTGATCGATTTATCATAATCGTATCGCTCGCGTAGCCGCGTACAACGATCTAATAACGGTCGAATATATTCGCTACTGACTACGCTAATAATCTAAAAAAGATTTACGTCGGACGAGTTTGCAAACTGATATTCGTGTGCAACTTCGAAACCACCACGCGGATATGATAAATTGCGCGTGAACCCCGTCTGTTGAGGGATAAAGCTTAGAGGCTCGAGAGCAACTCGTTCGAGAACGGAATAAGAATCGTCCTTTGTCTTACGAGAGGACGATCGATCATGAGATCGATGCGCGTGGTCCGGACAAGTCGATGTGTGGGAAGGGGGGAGGGAAGGGGAGGGGGACGATCGGCAGGGGACCGATGTTTGCCGCGACCCAAACCACGTCCAATTAGTGGAATTAATACCGGCTGGGCTTTGGGGGAGCTAATGCCTCTGTGTGTGCATACCTACGGGTATGCGCGCCGATGACTGCACTTTCCTTCGTGCGTAATGAAGGACAATCCCGTCATCGTACCTATACCTCGGATGCATTCGCTCGTGGAAGCGCGATCACCGCCTCCTCTTGTTCTGCGGTCACCGATGAAATTCCGTAAGTCTACAGACTGTGTGTGCGGCGGTGCTCCACTGAATCGTTAAGAAACTTGGCTGGCTAATTTTGCTCGACTACCACCGGAAAGATACGCGCAGTCGTTATGCACTTTGCATAAAAAAAAAAAACAGGCGTTACCGAAGTATTAAATTTCAAAGTGGATTCAACGTAAACACGTTCGTATTAATCGTAACTGCAATAACAATACTAATTTTATGTATCTCGTTATATCATACATCTTGAAAAACGTCACGTCAATCAGGTAAGTTGATTTAAATAAATAAAACATCAAGCTAAAATAATGACGCTGTAGAAATCTAATATAGCAACGAGTTTTTCTAATCCATTCTTTAAAGAGTTTCAGACTCTCGATTATCGGAAATTTATTTCGGATATTACGCTCGATATCACGCATACCGCTCCTTTGCTCCCTCCCTCTCTCTCTCTCTCTCTCTCTCTCTCTCTCTCTCTCTCTCTCTCTCTCTCTCTCTCTCCCTGTCTATTTTTCGAAAGCATACCGATATCGCGCTCGCGTTTGGCGCGAGGTTTGGCACGACGGGGAACGAGCGCCCGGGCATTTTCAGACAGGCCACCGTGTGATACGCATTGTTCGTCCTGGACGTCGCCGCCGTCGCCACCGTAGTCCCTGTTACCGCTCGTTGCCCACCCCGCTACAGATACGCGCTTAGCGCAACACGGTGTGTTTGCATCGTGCATAGCTGTTACGTAACCCTCGTCATTGTTTGCGCATCGTCGTTACACGCCTATATGGAGAAAGGGAGGGCGGAGGGTGGTCTCGCCGCCGTTACGAGCGAAAGGCGGGTAGAAAAAAAAGGAGGCAGCGCGCACGGACGGATTTTTGCCCATCTCGCGTAGAGAATATACGAGCGCATCTAGACGCAGCTGAGCAGACTCGCGTCGGGAGGAACTGCATCGAGAACAGGCCCGATTGCTCTTTTCGATGTTCACGCCGATGCGCGTTCACCGTATTTCCTCCCTCTTCCTCTCTCTCTCTCTCTCTTTCTCTCTTAACGGTACGCGTTTCATCGTTGGATAACTCCCGCGGCGGATGAATATCGATCGTATACGAAGCTCTCA